ATAATCGGAATGTAGTCTTAGGAATGAAAAATTGAATATCATCGATAGAAAACGATTTCAAAACGAGTAAAAGAGTTCTTTTTCTAAATTTCTCGTCGTTTGATCAAAATCAAAGGAATAGCTTCTGATATATGTTTAAAAATCTGCTCGGGGAGAGGAACAAACGTGTACCTCATCTTCCGTTCTTGTACATTTGGAGTTTGGTCAGGATGTTAGTGAAGAGGAAAAAGGTGCAGTTCTAAATTCAAAAAGAGAAGATTGTCTTAGTTAGGATGACGCCATAGTGTTTAATCGAAAGTTTACGAGACGATAGTAACATAATTGAAAAAATGAAGAAGAAGATGATGATCACGATAGAAAGAGAAACAAGAACTGAGCCCATTTTACATTGTTGAGGAAACGAATGTCGGTTTCTCTACTTTGTTTGTTCACAGTAACTACAGCAAGAAGTGTAGACTGTAGAAGTGAGAATACACATTCGAGTATTATCACATAAATACTTAAAATCAAAAGTTTACCTCTCCCTCATATGTTTGCATTGCAGCGTCGTAGAGGAAAAGTTGTTTTCGTCCAACTTTGGCAAATCCCAGTAAATAAGAAACCTCTCGTTCCCTGATATAGAATGTTTAGTGATATAAACTAAGAAAGACCCAAACTCATCGTATTTCCAACACAAGTACAGCGTGTGTTCAGAAGAAATAAGCTTTTCGCAACAAGTGAGAGGTGCTCGAAGTTGCATACACTGGGCCGACAACTTAGCCAAATCATCTATCGCCTTGTACACAATGGGTGATCTGGAAATAAAGACAAGAAAATGAGGATTTTGGGAGCGTTGTATACTGCAACTGTTTGATACGCATAGGGTCTAACCGAACCAAAGAAGGACCCAAAATAGGACGAAGATCAGCAGGTACTTCCATTTTCGATACAATCACCAAGAGCGGAGAAGACAACTAAAATACTAGTATGTATGTTTGAGTTCAAGATTCCATGTCATATCGAAAATTCTCGTCTTTATAGCTTTCTCATGCATCCTTGAATACACATGTGCTCCTCCTTCTCATTCATACATAATTTTTTCTCAGTTCATTAATGTAGAGGAAATGCTGAAGATGACAATTCCTTTTTGCATTTCTCGATTTTCGTTGAAAACCAGAGATATCTGCCTTTGTGAACCGTTAAGCGTTTCGGGGTCTTGTTGCACATTAGCATCTTCGTATATTACAAAAGAGTAAACTCAATAGAGAAATAGCTGTACACCATAGGTAAAAATGATACGAATGAAAAAGTTCAATCAATATTGAAATTGGAACAGTCCGTACTAGTACTCCAAATAACCATTTTGATCTCACGCTCTTAATTTGGTAACTTTGTGATTGAACACTTACTAACAGCATGCTCAATACTCTGAAGAACAGAGCATTTCATCTTCATCTCGTCATAATATTATTATTTTTTCTCTGGCATGAGAGTTAGTGTCTGGTACAGAGATACTTCATTGCTTTTGCCATCAATACAAGATACTATGGGAAGTAAAAGTTTCTTTTTCGGTTTTCTGATCTGTAACCTCTCTTTGGTGTTTATTGTTTAAGTTAGTTCAATCTTATTCAGAAAATATTTCTATAGCTCTTGAAAGTATTTTTTTATCAGAAAAGTTTCGATGTTTGATAGATTCGACTTTCGTAGTTTGTAAGTTCGTCTGTGTACTCATGCGCTGTCTTCGTATATCTGTACCTTTTCGAATTATGAGGTCACACATACGTAAGAGAGAGAGAGTACGGATTTGTATCAATCGTTTAGAGTTCTGACAGTATACTTCTGAACTAGGTAAATGCAACCATTATATGTCATTCAAAATTTATTTTGTGTAAGTGATATATCGGACTCAGGAGTTTATAGTTTTATGAACGATTTATGGAGAACAGGTAGGGGAGCACACTCTCGTTTACAATACCAACTGAGTACCTTTAGAGTTAAACAGCTAATATACGCAGTTCTTAGTGAGTTCTCTCAGTGATCTACAGGGAACGAAGTTCGTCAGTAACATTCCTACCTAAAATGAAGTTCGACCACGTCGTTTTTCTCCTAAGAAATGGATACTTGTGATCAAATTCATTAAAAGATTTCGAGGTTTGTTCTTTCATCTGATGTTCTAATATCTTTCAGGCTTAAGTGAACTCTATGACTGTTTCCCTTGTATCTGACTTACAGTTGTTCTCGCCGATATTGTAGAAACCAGGGTCTTCATTCTATTGTCGTGACCACCGATAGTATGCTGTCTATGATCTCACTGACAGCGTCGTGTTTCGACCTGTTAAGCTATTCTCAGATGGTAGAGTTAATTTACGTTATATTTCTTTTATCAAATCGTTTCAGGGTATGGTTACTCAGTTATTAATGAAAATGCCAGGCTGATGAATGTTGTGGGATGTCTGTTCAACTAACAGTGTGAAGCCCCGCGGAAGCATTGTGCGACTTATTGGTTGGCACTATTAAATTTCTTTGTGCATTTGTTTCAGTTCTACTCATCTCATCTCACTTTTGATTTTGATGGTCATGTATCATTGCGGTTCTTTTCAGTAACCTGTTCTGTTCCTCTCACACTCAGCTCTACCTCATCATCTTATCTGACAACGTGTTCAAGAAAAGTACAGAAAGCTGCTGTTCATGAAC